GCTGTTTGGGCTGAAGAGGAAGCTGAAGCAGGCGGAGAGGGAGGCGGAGGTGATAGTGAAGGAAGGGTTCGAGGCGGCGGAGAAGGGCATCGAAACGGCGGAGAAGGGTCTCGAAACGGCGGAGAAGGGGCTGGAAACAGCAGAGCGAGGGATCGAAACGGCGGAGAAAGGGGTGGAGGCGGCGGTGAGCTTTGGCGGGCTAGCGCAGGCTGGAGCGGTGGCGGGAGCGGAGGTTGTGGGGATTTTGGTGGCGACTTCGGTCGTGAATGGGATTTTGGGGCCAGAGAGTTAGTTAGAAATCGTGAGCTTGTTGTAACCTTAATTTATAGTGCTGATTAGCTGCGTGGCTCTGTAAAATTTAAATCCAGTTTAATTTATATCATCGAGTTTTTAATTATATACATGAAATTTTTTGAGAATAAATTCAGGTTGGCGTTCATACCAAAATAGCAACAAAAAAATAAAAAAGATTGAGCTTTCGTGACCCGCCTGCCTGCAATTTGTACGGCAGTTCAATGTGCCACGAAAGATGACGAGCACCATAAGCCTTTATTTTATTTTATAAAAAATATCTAAAATCAGAAAGTCGTTATTATAGAAAAATAAAAAAAGTCGTTAAATATAGTTAAAACGTGAAAAGACTCTAGTCTAGCTCGCTCGCTCGCTCGCTCATCCATAAAAGAAGCCATTGTACGGTATAGTGATTAATTAATTTAACCCGAAGTGTCACCAGTTATCTGCAATGGCTCGCGTGGCTTCAAACCCAGTTGGTCTCCATAGATTCCGGCCATGTTTCCAGGTTGCTCAGCTTCCCCAACATGCTAGAACCTCTCTTCACTTCCGAAACGAGCACCGCAGATTTCGAACCGTTTCTTGCCAACAAACCCCAGATCCAACCGAGACCTCCACAACGGTACGCTTAAATTTTGCCTCTAATCTTTTCTGAAGAAGCTGAAAAGCACTAGTTGGAGGGCTACAAGTGTTCCCTTTTCAATATTCTGCATATCTGCCAATTTGTTTTTACTGGGTTTCAGGTGTTAAGGTCAAAGTAGTTGTTTTTGTTATTGATAAAAGGTGGAGTTTATGATTATATATACTTTATTTGAAATTTATGAGTTGTGCCATTGAAAATAGTTTAGTGCCTCCATTTTTGCTATATGGGCATCCAAAGTTTAGCAAAATGTCATAATTTTGTTGCACAAGTGAAGGAAACTGCAAAGTTGATCATCTGGCAAAGTATGTATGCATGCCCATTAGTTCACAGTCTGAAAAATTGTTTCTTTATATACGAAAAAAAACTTAATTTCTCCTGAATTATGGTGCTTGTCCTTGTTTTCATGGATTGTTGTATATCTGAGCCAGTGTTGGTTCAATTTCTTGTTTGAAAAGTTTTTCAAGTTTATTTTATCGTATGACTAGTGTTATCTTCATCAACTATTCTGATTCAGGAGAAATCGATTGTTGAGCCAGGCTCAGGCAATGATAGCAGTAGCCAAGCTACAAGTTCCTCAAGAGACTCTGGCCCTCCAGAGTTTCCGAACAAAAATACCAACAAGCAAGTAGCATTGGTTTCTACTCTTGCAGCACTAGCACTTTTCTTATCAGGACGACTAGATTTTGGTGTTTCTTTGAAGGACTTATCTGTTGCTGCCTTGCCTTATGAAGAGGTGTGTTCAATTAGCTATGCTCTTTTTACTTTGTCTCGTGTAACAGGTTATGTAGATGGGTCGGTAGGCGGTTGTGATGAGCATGGTTGAGAACTAGAAAAAGGTTTCTATAACCTCAAGCAACACCTTAGATATTTCAGTACAAATGAACTATTTCAATGATGAGGCTCAAACCTTATTTCATAATGGAATTTAAACTTTAGCGGATTTGTATGCTCTTAGACAGTGCACTAATTAGTACAAACAGGTTCCCTCATGCCTTTCTTATAAAAGCAAGGCATATCTTTTGTTACTTATATTTTCTAAGTTCTCAAGTTATGTACGCAAGCTTTTTTTGATTTGTTATTTCCCCGTGTATTCAATCAGCTATTTGTGTTTTCCATAATGTACATGCATGTGAATGAATCTTTACATAATCGTCAATGTGATATCATTGCTGTTTTTGCTAATGATCTTCTGTATTTACGCTGATTAGGCTCTGTCAAATGGGAAGCCTACTGTTGTTGAGTTCTATGCCGATTGGTGTGAAGTATGCAAGGAATTAGCTCCAGATGTCTATAAAGTTGAGCAGCAGTATAAGTATGATCTTCAAGTTCTAACTTGTTCTTGATTAAAATTACATCTCTACTACAAGCTTGAAAATAGTGAATGTTCCTTCGTGGGTATTTATGTTTGAAATCCTTAAGATTCTCTAAATATGTAAGAGCTTCACAATCTTCGATTCTCAAAGCTCACGCATTCCTGAAATGTTTACCTCATGCACAGTTTCTTCTTTTACCATAGATCTGTTATCATCTTTCACATTTACCACTCTTTTTATTCAGGGGTCGTGTAAATTTTGTTATGCTGAATGTTGACAACACAAAGTGGGAACAGGAGCTTGACGAGTTTGGTGTTGAGGGTATTCCACACTTCGCATTCCTAGATAAAAAGGGCAATGAAGAGGGTAACGTAGTAGGCAGGCTTCCAGAGAAGTACCTGCTTGAGAATGTGGATGCCCTTGCCCGTGGAGAAGCCTCCATACCGCACGCTCGTGTAGTGGGGCAGTTTTCAAGTGCTGAAGCCAGAAAGGTTCACCAAGTTGCCGATCCAAGAAGTCATGGATAGGTGCTAACTTCTTTTAGAGAAGAACCCACCTGGTTCTTAAGGGATTTACATATAAAGGTAATAACTGTCCAGCTGAGTAACTTATACTTCAAGTGTCTTTGAAGAGATAGATTAATATTGAGTTGTTCACCCTGCTGGGTTCCAAGTACATATATTTGTTGTATAATCTTTCTGACAATATTGCCATTGCATTTCATGTGAGACTGAATCTTGAAATATTTCAACCTGCAGGTTAATATCGCAAATGATAGCGATTGCCGATCCTGAACAGATGCCTCCAGTGCATTATTGGCTAACTCCTGCAAGCTCATAGCTTTCTCTACAGGTTAAATTTGTACTGCAATTGTAAAGTCATATCAAGGAAGAGTCCCTGTATTGTAACTTTGATACTTTGCTTAGAAATTATTAATAATATACACCTTCCTCGAATGAATTCTGAGCAGAGTTTCTCTTCCGTTTGGTACAAATGCTATTGAGGGAGGGGGAATCGAACACACAACCTGGAGAAAAATTATAAGACCGATTGAAACAGAATTGGATGGCAGATTCCGTGACATTGGTAAAACCCAAAACCAAACTGAAACTGTGACCTTCAGGTTTGATTTTTCCATAAATGGTAATTACAGATTTGAATTAAAACAACTGATCACTTGCCAAAACTAATGTATATATTTACAATTAATCCGTTACAAATAAAAGGTGATTTTGTTTACAATTAAGATCTTTCCAATTTTATTGTTATAAAAACCCAACAATGTTTTGACCTCATATCACCACAAGACTGTTGATATTGAGAGCAACAGGCGCCGCAAACAAACATTTTGCTCAGAAAAATGTAAGAAGCTACAGGTCTAGAATGCTGGTGCTGCGCCTTCCACCATGACTGCTGGCCAACTCGGGAAGAATGTAACGCAGGTTGCCACCCCTTAGCCCCTGAGCCTAGCTATACCTTCTTCTAGCTTAGGCTCTGTAATTGGATCTTCAACAAAGAGACTTGTGCCTCGGCTGAATTTTGCTTAATTTTTGAATGTGGTACAATAAATCAATAAATAATAAACTGGCTTGAGCCACTTTTGAAAAGTATTTTGGGAGCCATCAGGCTTTTTAATTTTTTTGCAATTTGACAACACAAAGTGCGTTCGAACAATGGCTTGTTTTGAGTTTAGAAAAATTCTTAGGCGTGACTACTGCACCGCGGCTCTAATCCAAGTATCATAAATTAATCTTTACAACAGGCCAATACACTACAAAGTTATGTCATAACAATAAGGCTATTTATATTTAAGTATCGAACTCATTATAAATATATATCGTCCTCGTCATTCATGTGAGTTGAACCTGAGACCTCCTCCAACCAAGTAGAGACAAATACCACTAAACTAAATGTTAGTTAGTTCTTGCAAATTTAATCCAATGCCATGTTTGGTGACTAGAATTGAATTGGAATATGAGGTAGAATTGGATTGCATTGGATTACATTGGATTGGAAATGATAACACTAATTCAATAGGGTTGAATTAGTGTGGTAGGATTCATAATCTTACTACATTCGGCTTTAGTAGGATTAGAAATAATCCAATCCATGTTGTTTTTGGGGCACCAAACATTTAACTAGGATTATGAATCCTATCCAACTACATAATCCAACTTACCAAACCGGGCTTAATTGTATGGGGAAAGTTTAGTAAATAAAGACATTCAATTACAAATGGTAAAACGACAGGTAGATTGGATTTGCATTAGATATTGACCGTAACCCAAAAGAAACTGATAAACTAAGACAATCACAACCATTTTAGTATTGTTGGATTCTAATATTTCACCATGAATGTTCACTAATAAATTTTATTGTTATAAAACCCAACAATGTTTTGACATCATATCACCACAACAACAAAGTTTGCATCAAATCACTCTCTCTCAAACAAAACATCAAATGGCAATCAAAGTGCAGCTGGTTCTGTTCTGCATCGTCTTCGTAGCCCTCTTGGCTCTTACTGAATGTAAGCATCTATCATCTCCATGCTTGTCAAATCAAATATTGATCAACATCTAACCAAGTTTACTTATTATATTTCACAGATTTTATTTATATTTATTTATATCTTCTTTTTCCATGTGACATCATATGATAATTAAACAGGCAAGGAAAGCAATGGTGTTGAGAATATAATGGCGAACAATGATATAAGGGGACGCAAACTAACATTTTGCATTCAAGAAGGTAAGAGCGGACCACCAGGGTCGGATTGGTGGTGTTGCGCCTTCCACCGTGACGTGTGCTGGAAGACTCATGAAGCATGTGACCAAGGTTGCCACCCCTAGCTACCTTAGCTCAGGCAGCTGCTCTTCGTTATCAACTTAATTTCAGAGACTTGCACTGGTGCGCAGTTTTGGCACAAATAAAACAATAATAAACTTTCAGAAGCCCATTTGAAGGCTTTTTGTATGAATCTTAGATCATTCTGCTTTACTTTATCTGTGTTAGGGAGCCAATTGAGTAACTACAATTAAGCCCTTAGGTTAGGTCAAGCAATTTGGCGGGTAATTTTAAGAACATTTTCTACAATTCATGAAAAACTTCGGGAAATATATAATGTTCTCCCCCAACACTCCGTACTAAAGTATATACGCTTCTAGCACCTCCAGAAGATACCATGTGTCTCCGCCCTGAATCCAAGTGGTGACGGACGGTGAGACAAATGAATTAGGATTATGATATGTTTGCGGCACTAAAAAACTATGCAATTTGTGTTTCATTGCATTTATGGTGTGTTCACTAATCATGAATTGAATTCCAATTATGGAAGATTCCTGCATTTACTTCACATTAAGGAATTAAAAAGTAAAAGAGACCCACATAAAATCAGGAATTGATCATGATAATTTGTGTTTTATTGCATTTAAGAGCATTTCGGGCACACCATTAATCAAATCTTGAATAATGCTACTCTTAAACGGTAATCACAAGTTGCAAGTTGCGTTTACTCATTTCTAAAGAATAATAAAATTTAAATCACAAACCCATTAATTCTCCAACAAGACCTAAACGGTAATTACAAGTTGCGTTTACTTTAATCTTTTGATTTCCAAGTTGTGACTATAAACGGTAATTACAATTAAGACTTTTAAAGTAGTATTCAATTGCAAACGGGATTTAGCCCTAGTGGTCTCAGTAGTGTATGTGTGAAAACCCCTCTCTGAATGCAGACTTTTCAAAAGGGTTTGTATATGTATAACAATGGAAAATTATAAATTTGTTTATAGTTTTTGTTTTTCACAAAATTATTTTGCTCCAATTAGCTACATTAAATGTGTTATAAAAAAAAATATAGTTTTTCTTTTCTGTAAAGCCAAATACAAAAATATTTATATTATAAATAATGTATAAACAAATTGGAAAGCTTTTAAGGTACAATGAAATTGAAGAAAACATATTAATAGGTAAGTAAAAGCAAAATAGATAATAAATAAGAAGGTGAGTTTGGTATGGTGAAGCATGTCAAAGACATTGTCCTAAAGCCTTTGTAGCCTCCCTATGTGCAGGTACTGACAGTCTCCAAAATAGGACCCTTTGTACACAAACTCAAGATCCACTATGATCATGTTCATAGACGGATATAGGTATCCAAATCACATAATCATTGCCCAAAATAATAATATAAGTAGAGAAAGTATATAAAAATAGAATAAGAGAGAATCAGATTGTTGGATGTGATATTCTGATGGTGTATTGTGTTTGTTTAAATGTGAAGGAGGAGTGGCCTTTTATAGGCATCCAATAATATGTAACATTCACCACATTAAACCAGAAAATTAAGGCATTCAATATAGAAATAATACCTGAAAAATTAAATATGTATAACTCCCACAATAAATAAAATATAACAATAAAAATAATTGAATAAATAAAACGGTTCAATTTTTTAAAACCTTTTAAAATTCCAACAAAATGTGGATGCTTACATAACTTAACACATGTTGATGCACATTTTGTGTGTTATGTTGCGTGTAAGATAACATGCCGAATAATAGACTGACTGAATATGTAGAGCAATATGCATAATGCATGGAGTTAAACTAAAAATATTTGTAGCTGTACCAGAGTGCTCTGTACTTATATAACCATGGATGCCCGTTTGCTGGAAAATAAAAGATAATTAAAAAAACCGACATCTGTCGAATGCAGATTCTTCGATAGTAAACTGAAATCTGAGTTCTTGTGAAACTGCCGTACGATTTAAGAAGTTGTCTCTATAGACGTCAATGGAGGCTGGTAAATCAATCAGAGTGCAAGGGGCTCTCTTTTGCATTGTGTTCATAACCCTCCTGGCTCTTGCTCAATGCATGTTCATGCTCTTATCACACGAACACTTTTCTTTTACTGAAAAAAGAATGATCACCAACCTCTCAACCACAGATTTTACTCTGCACTGCACGACAGATATTATTTTATTTTTTCTGGTGTCATAAGGGAACACGCCATAAGGGAATTATGTATGAATGAAATGTGAAAGGTTTGGTAAAAACACACTGAATCATAGATTGAATCGGATTTTATTGGATTTGTAACCATGTAATCCACATCTAAAAGCCTTCAACTGTAAAAAAAAAAAAAAAAGGTAAAACCATTACAAGTGGAGGGGATCACCTAACCCAAAATTAACAGAAAAAAGACCTTAGATTTGATTTACTATAAAAGGTAATTACAATTAAGAACTTTAAAGTAGTTCCAATTAGCTCACTACTTTTCTAGTGTTGTTGGATTCTATGCTATCACCATGGATCTTCACTAATAAATTCAGGCTTAAATCATCTTATTATAAAAACCCAACAATATTTTGACCTCATATCACCACAAAGTTTGCATCTTAAATCACTCTCTCAAACAAATCATCAATGGCAATCAAGGTGCAGTTGGTTCTGTTTTGCATGGCCTTCATAGCCCTCTTGGCTCTTTCTGAATGTAAGCACATGATTTATCTCCACTTCATGCTTGTCAAACCAAGATTAATTAACATCTCGAATCAAGATTTATGTATTAATTAATTTTTCCATGTGACACTGTTTCTAAACAGGCAATGAAAGCGGCATTGGGGAGACTAGCAGCAAGCAAAGCAATGTGGTTGAGAGTTTAAGGGTGAGAGGTGATGTTGTGAAAGTATGGGGGAGCAAACTGACGTTTTGCTCAGAACAATGTGCAGTAACTCATCAGCGACAACAATGCTGGTGCTGCGCCATTAACCAGGAATGCTGGCCAACTCAACAAGAATGTCATAAAGTTTGTGACCCTAAATAATTTAGGCTTAGGCTGCCTATAAGTTGATCACCAACGATAATAAATTTATGGTTTTGCATGTAGCAAAATAATAATAATTATAATAAATTGTCGTGAGCCCGTTTGAAGGTTTTGCATCTTATCATTTTAATTTGTTATCCTTTGATAAGATACTATTAAGCAACCAATCATTGTGCAATTGTATTTTTTTTGCATCTATTTTTTTTTTAATCATATAAAGTCATATCTTATATATATATATATATCAGTCCCCTTCTATTGAGGGATCCCTCAAATAATTTTATTTGAGGGACACCCTTTAAGGTACTCTATAAATTTTTTTTCAATGATCCAAACCATCTATTTTTTAGGTTTTCATTCATAGATCATCCTTACAAAAAATTAAACAAATCGGAAACCATTTCGATATCCAATTGTGTCCTACAAAATCAATGAACACGGTGCTTCAAAAAAATACTAAAATTTCAATAAATCAATTGAATGGTCAAATGATATCGGATTCAAGTGATT